AACATTAGTGTCAGAATAATTTACATTAAGGTATTCTTCTTATTTATTTCTATTCGTGACATAACTGTCTAATTACACATTGCACGGGCAATAAAACAAAAGTAATTTTGAATTACATCTTTATAAGTTAGGACAACTGTAATAGTGAAAAAACTATTTACTTATTATTATTATGGTTTATTTTTTGTACTATTTTTGTAAAAATTACTAGAAATTAGTATAGAATTGTGTATAAAACTAATAATAATAAAAATAATAAACTCTTTATTGCGCACAGTAGAGATGTATACAAGGAGTAATTATACAAAATGTGCATATACAAAAGGCGGCCTTATCGCTAAAAGCAATCTCTTACAGACAGCCTGGTTTAGTGACAACAAAAAATAGCTTGTGATATTTATAATTATATATATAATTGTAAAAAAAAAAGTTGATTGTATAATTTTAAATCAATTGTAGATAACATATTCTTCATCAGAGTTAGAAAAATCTACTCAATCAATAATGGTAAGATTTTACATAGTACTAAACCAATACAAGTAAAAACAATAACATATGTAGAATGAGACAACAACATCCATCTTCTTTTTTTTCCCATGAGTACGCAGATACTATCTTTTATCTATCTTTTAGCCATTTATTAAAAGAAACTTTAATACTAACACTAACTAACTAATTGTTAACAATAATAAATAATTATTGTTGTTAACAATAAGCTTTCAAGTAAACCATTGTAGCTTAAAAATTCTTAACACCAGAGGACGCCACCCTCACACGAGTTATATTAATAGTAGTAGTAATTTATAATAAATATAACTGGACATATCTAAACGCGCCTTAAGTTTCATTGAAAATATTCCCCATCTTTGATAACCTTGCCAAGCACTAAATACATCCTGTCTATGAATGTCATACCAAAAATATGACTCATAGCGTTATATCGGCAAGTATGAATTTGAAAGGAGTTCTGTTGACTTTCCTGGAGGTTTTTCTCAGCAGATATCAACATCCTCAACCCAGTGATACAATCATAAAAAATAGATAATTTATAAGCGCTTGTAAACAAGTCTATTCGAATAAAGATTATTTCTATTCTATTCTGTTCTGTCTTGTTCTTTTCTATTCTATGGAGACTATTATTATTATATACACTTTTTATCGATGAAAATGAAATGATATATGTAAATAAGGATAATAGTTCAGATTAGTTTGATAACAGTCATACATCCCAATTCTAAACAAATTGCTAATTGTTATTTCATAGGTGCAGTACAAAATTGTCGTTGGTAATTGGATTGATATCGATATTGGATTCGAGAACAAATCAGCTATTATTGGATAGGTGCTTTTTTTTTTTATTAATTTTTATAATTGCACCGCTGAATTTGAATGAAATATCTACTAAGAAGAACCCTCAAAAATTCAATGTTATCAAATCTCTGATAAAATTACTATTATAAATTACTATCACAATGTCATTCCATATTAATACAAGTAAACACAATAATTCGACTTTTATCCATTACTAAGTTCTGGTGAGTATTTAATAGACTTAAAATATTTGGGTATCGCTTCTCTGTTTTCGAATCAATTTTGCACCAAAGGAAAAACTATGATACCGAACAGTTTCATAAGTCTTTAGAATTATTGATATGTGCAGCTTACACTTAGTAATTACTCAATAATCTGACATTTTGAGGATGCGCTGCCGCGAAAGGTCGTTGGTATCACGAGTGTTCTCAGACTAAACGGTTAGTGACCCACAAGAAATACGCGGATATTTGAACGAGTAATTGTAGACATTTTATATATGGTACACCTTATTTAAGGTAAAACTTCTTCTTGTTTATTTTTTTTTTTTTTTGACTAGAAAGCAAACAAGACATTTAGTCTTAACTATGAATAAAAAAGTCAAAAATAACAACAGTCGAAATGCTATTAATTATTTGGAAACCCATTTCGCCATCGATTAAAGACTCTGATTATCTTATTTAATTTCTATTTTGCTATTTTAATTCCACCATAGGCGTATTTAACACAGGAGTCGGTCGAAACATGCGCACTCCAGAATTGTCTGGTGCTTACTTCAGGTTGCTAACGAAGTTTAACAAAAACATGTCTGAGAGTAAGTATGCCCCTTTTACAAGAGGTCAAGTTCTTCCTGAAATCTTAAATACGCCAATGAATTCCACTGCCAAGTATATCCATAACGAGCGAACGAATAAGCCTGGCTAAGAAAGTGTCCTAAAATAATAAAAAAAAAATGTGTGAAAACATCATTAATATTTTTTTTATACCACTGAGGTGGCAGACAAGCATACAGCCCACCTGATGGTAAGCGGTTAGCGTAGCCTATGAAAGCCTGCAATACCACGGGTATTATGCGCGCATTACCAACCCTGAAGAAACCTCTTTACTCCTCTTCTAAAGAACCCCATGCTCTAGTCTCTTCGAAAAACCTCGGCAGGTAGGTGTATATCTATGGTGTATACCGAAATATATATCCTCGAATAACGAGGACTAGCGATCCATTGCTAGCAATCCTGTCAAACTCCACAGGATACCCCTTGATAACCATTGTAGTTAATTATTAATTAATTTGTCACGATAGTTCAACTGACCTATTCTCATCTTTACTTATCATCTTTTACTAGATTTCCACCCGCAAATACCGATAGACGGTATTACCAATCCATTATCATTCATTAAAGTAATAATAATAATAAAAAAATCAAAGTATAAGGTCACCAGCTTCAAATCTGCTTATATGTATTACAATATAAGCATATTGTGTAACACCCTAGAGAGTCACGCGCATTATACATGCGCGTGAAACATAAAATAAAAAAAAACTTCAAGCGTTCTGATGAACCGAAAATTACAGCATTCATAATGAGCTAACGTCGACACAGCGTCATAGAAATATTAATGCTGCCACACACGTCAAACTTTTTACATGGTATTGTAGTTTTTCAACCAACTTCAAGAAAGAAGGAAGTTCTCAAATCAGTTGAGTTTTTTGTTTATTACTTTACTCCTTCTTTTATGTAACTTTGAATGACAAGCTGACGACTCACCTGATGGTGTGTGGTAACCGTCGCCTATAAACATGAGCAGTACCATGGACATAACAGAGTATACTGTTTCGCCCATGATACCCCCTATCCGTTGCTATTCCTCAACTCTCGATTGACTCAGGCGTCATTCCACTGTACCCTGTAAGTTCATTGCCATATCTCTCGCCCTTTAAACCGAAATGTAGCCATGCAAACACAACTGCTTTGCGGTTGAAATTCGAATGGGACAGAAGTGCACAAGCAAACGACTTTTTTACAAAGTCTCTCTCTGCTATTGTGTAGGGAATGAACCCGGGAGTATTGGGAGGAAAGAATGGCCACAGATAATATAATAAATACTATGTAAGGTATTGCGCAGTTAAACTGCTAGACCACCAAGATAGTAGAATATAATATGTATGTGATATTTAGATATTTCTTTGGTTTAGATTATTTTATGAAACTTAAAATGCTAGTTTGCAACAACAAAATCTCCCTCTGGTGACTCCGTTATTTATTTTCCAGTTACAAACTTTATAAATCATAGAACATAGAAATTTTATCAAGAACGGAATAAAAATTTAATTTTTAAATCAAAGTAAGTGTTTTACCACGCTTGAAGCCAATGTTTTTTTATGGATCGAAATCTTAAATTATTCATATTTGATTATTCATCCATTTTTGTTAATTTATATTCCATTCTGATGCAATAGATTTTAATTAGTATAAACTTGTTATAATAGACACTATGGATCCTGTTGGGCACAGCAAGTTACGGTGAGTCAAAGCGCGTTAATAAATTGTTAATGTTGTTGTAAAGTAAATTCATCTTGTAAGTACTATATGTATATACATTTATATCTGAAATTAAAATAAATATTTAAGGTGAACTTTAATATATAGACAATTAGTTGAATATAGATAAAGCCACTTAATTTTTTTATAACCCTATCTATAATATCTAAGTAGTTGACAAAGTCTAGCATAAAAAAAATAAAAAAAAAAAGCATTAAGCCATATTTATTCACATATAGGCAGTTAAATCTGAAAATACGAATATGAAGATTAATTTCATTCAGTTATTGAATTTTGAGTTCAAGGTTTGATCATCTGAATAATGAGGAACAAGATACTAATATATTGTATTATAAACAAAAATGCGGAAATAGAAACGTATCCACTACTATATGATTGTATTGTAAAATTAAAAAAGAACAGAATCACTCGAGTTTCGATCGACTATCCTAGATTAGGTAAATACTATTTATTTAGTATATTACAAAGAAGAAAAAAAAATCGGAGTCTGGGGCAGTTTGAACAAAATATACCCATGATTTTATTCGTCTAATAAAGATAAAACGCATCTTATAGTCTTCTTCACATCAAATAAGTACAACGTGTGTACCAATTACATGTAACATATCACAACTATATTTTTGTAATAGTTTATCTCAAGATACCAAAAAAGATTGTAATATTAATAATTAATAAGTAATTAATAATTAAAAAATAATAATATAATATATTAATATTTATCTTCTAATTATACTGTCACTATCATTATTCACTCAGAGTCTTACAGCATATGTACGAAATTTAAAATGTTATTTATATTGTAATATAAGAGGTATGGTATTACTTTATTAAACTAAACTAATCGATAAAACCACTGATTAAAATACAGTACTCCATCATCATCAATTTATTCTATTTCTACTTATTTTGTTACATTTTTTATTCCTTTTCTATTTCTCACTATATACATATTTACAACTACATATAATATTACAATTATAAATATGTTTTCATCTAAAATAAACAATCTCGTAAATGCTCGTAAAGTACAATATGAGTTTCTGTAGTTTTACTCAGGCCTTTATCTAAGGTCAAAAGAATATTATAAAAGTGTTTAGTAAAACATACCTTCCTAGTTGTTTAATCTATTTGGATCTACTGATATTAGTCAATGGACATTCATAAATATAATATAGTATTTATAATCGGTGCGATATATATAACATTTCTTGAGCACCATGTCTCCACATTACCTGCTGCACGTCAAGACACGCTTGAATCATACTCCAATTCCAATATAAGATCATTCAAAAAGGCCTTAGGTTACGATGAAGAGACATATTTGAACTTCACAGAACTAGCAACCAAGTACGGATATCGGACTGAGGAGCATACTATAACAACAGAAGATGGTTACATTTTAAAAGCTTTCAGAATTTTAACGAACTGTCAAGAACCTTATAAACGTCCGCCGGTATTATTAATGCATGGAGTTTTTGATAGCTCCGACGTATGGATAATAGCAGGAAAAGATATAGGAATTGGATATTTGCTCGCTGACTACTGCTATGATGTATGGGCGCTTAATCACAGAGGAAACAAGTACTCCAGAAAACATGTTTACTATAATCCAGATACTGACATGGAATTTTGGAATTACTCTTTTGACGAACACGGCAATTTCGATATTCCCGCTACAATCGACTACATTATTCAAGTAACCAAACATAAAAAGCTTAGTTACATAGGACACTCTCAAGGAACTACAGATTTTTTCGCAATGGCGTCACTAAAACCAGAATATAATGAAAAAATTCGAGTATCCATCCAACTGGCTCCTGTAGCATGGATGACAAATATCTTCAACCCTATATTAAAGGTAATATCTCCAGCAACGCACCTTCTCAAAATTTTCTTAGATTCCTCCGGTAATAGCGAATTGTTGTCGGAAAATCATCTTATACAATTGATGTTTGAAATGCTATGTCAAGTGGTCTCAAAATCTTTTTGTATTTCTACACTACACGCTACCACTGGTTATGAAGATGGAAGTATACCAACTAAGACGTTAGTTTTAGCATTTAGTCACGTACTTAGCGGCACTTCATCAAAAAGTCTAGCACATTTCGGCCAGGTAATAAAATCTAAGCATTTCCAACGATATGATGAAGGAACAAAAGGAAACGTGAAAAGATACGGTACACCTACGCCTCCAAAATACAATGTGTCTCTAATAACTTCACCAGTAGTTCTAATTTGTGCCGAAAATGATTGGGTGTCTTCATTAAAAGATATAGACATCCTTAGTTCTAAATTATCAAACTTGGTTGAAAAATATGTAGTGCCAGAACCAAAGTGGAGTCATCATAACCACGTGTGGAGTACAAAGTTGCCAAATTACGTATTTCCAAAAATAATAGAATATTTGGATAAATTTAATTGACAAACCAGTGTTAATGATAATCTTCAATGAATTACTTTTATAGGGTGATTTGTGTTTTTTAATAATTACGATAACCTTATTGTTTTTTATAAAGAGAAACTGTAGCGAGTTTCACTTTATAATATATTACAAAAAAAAAATAGATTCTGAGACTTTAAAAATAAACTTAAACTTGATGAAAATCAATTCATCAAATTAAGCGCCAAATCTATACTATTTTTTTTTGATAAATATCATTATTATTTTAATTAATTATAATACTTTTTCTGATCTTATGTCTCTTATATTATCTTATATCTAATAATCTTTTCTTTAGTGACGATATAATTTAACATTTCGCTAACAAATGCCATATGCTAATTTAGTGATTAGGTCTTATTTACAATCATACCAAATATTAAAATTGTAACTGTAAATTACGTTTCTGTTGATATTTATTATTATGTATTTTCTTAGCAGAACTAAATTGTTACTAAAGCAGTGTGAATAATTGTAGAACCATATAATAAAAGAAATTAACTTTTGTTTATATGAAAATAGTAGTGTTTATTCCTACATATCATTATTCAATAATAAAAAATGTGTACAAAATAAATCGATGTATTTTATAATAAAGTATTTAACTAACTATCACCCTAACTATTACCTACAAATTCTATTTTCGAATAGTGATATCTCATCTCTCTTGTAATACTAAACACTACCAAATATAACAATAAATCATCGTGGATAATCCTCTTGAATTCATCTGGCTTCATCCATTAAAACATAGTAATAACTTCAAAATTTATTCGAAAATCAGAAAATTTAGTGAAAAGTCATAAAAAGTGTTTAAAATCAATTATTACTAGGAAGCAAAAAATTGACTTATCAATAGAATTAAATAATTGTAAAGAAAAAATATATAACAAAGATTTAGAAATAGATGAATTATCACAAAAAATTAAACTATTAGAGAACTCGTTGTCCAATTTATCTTTGAAATACGAATCAGCTAAGAATGAAATACATGAATATTCTGATCAGTTGGATAATTTAATAAAATTAGGTAACTACAACATGGAGCGGTTTGTTTCTCTTACGGATAGATGTCACTGTAATTCACCAGAGTCTGATAACTATATCCAACCGTCCCACCATAATCAGTTGAACATTGATATCTCATCCGTCGCGGAACCAGACGTTTCATGTTTACCCACACGAAACAGTACAAAAGTAAATAAATGCAGCACTGTACATGAAACCATCAGGAGAACAATTGTTTATTCAGATGAATTTGGCAAGGATTTAGGTAGTTTATTATCGAACTGCCTCTCGCAACAAGTAATAAATAATTGTTTTCCGGGATCAGGTATATATAAGATTATAAAAAATATAGTAAATGAAAAATATGATATTCACACGACCCTAGTAATAGCGTTAGGGAATTGTTTGCATATGCGTAAATCTGATATAGTTAATTTAATAAAATCATTATATAATATAGTGGAGCTTGGTATAGGTAAAATATTATTATGCGCATTTCCCTACTCTCAATCCCTGACTAATGAACAGAATAAGTTCATTTATAGTATAAATAATTTAATTTATTCAATGACATATCATTGTAATGATATATTTTATTTTGAAAGTAACAAATTTGTTACAAATTATTATATGGCGGGAGGTAATTTTTATCTTCCTAAAAAACAAAAAAAGACTATTGCTAGTTTACTAGCGTATAACATTTATGATCCCATTATAAGTAGTATAACGGGTTTAATTAGTAATATTAGTAATTATACTAATAATGTGACATGTGTTAATTTAAACTAACATCTACGACATTGGTTAAGCCACAGGATATGGTCATTATTCATCAAAATATTCGTGGCTTCTCCAGCAAAGAATTAGAATTAAGTCTTTTCTTAGAATCTAACAATGTACGGGTGTTATGTCTGACAGAACATTGGCTTAAACAATATGAAATAATTTGTCCTTTTGAACATTATAATATAGCTAGTTTTTTTGCTAGGAACAATGCCATTCATGGCGGGTCAATTATTATTTTAAAAAATGATGTAGAATATAAAAACCGTCAAGATATTGTAAATATTTCTATTGAGCAAACAATTGAACTATCTTGCGTAGAATTAGTTACTTGTATAATAATTTGCGTTTATTGTCCGCCATCGGCTTGTTTTGATTCTTTTGAACTGGCTATGGAGGAAGCATTGAGACAAGTTGCACGGAGGAATAAAACATTATTTGTATGTGGCGATTTTAATGTTGATTTATTATCGGAATGCTCAATAAGCTTAAGATTGATTAACTTATTTAAATCATTTAATTTGCACAATCTTTTTTTAGAGCCCACTAGGGTCGCAGGAAATTCTGCCACTTGTATAGATAATGTTTTTTGTAATTGTGAAGTAAAGGTGAAAATGAATTTCGACTGTCTTGGATCTGATCATTACGGACAAAAAGTTATAATTGAAACTAAGGGATCCAAAGGGACTCAAACAATTACATGCAGACAAATAACACAAAAGAATTTGGCACGTTTTAAAAATAAAATTGAACATAAAATATCTAGTGTCATAGTACCTCAATATGACCCGGACATTGTATGTGAACATATTTTTAATTTAATTGAACATGAAGCTAGCAGTGAATTTAAAACAAAAACATTTTCAACTAGTGTAAAATCAAAGTTTTGTGACTGGGCCACGTTTGGTATTTATAAGTCTAGGGCTAATCTTTACGAACTTTACGAAAAACGAAGCTATATATCCGATCCCTTATTTCATGAACATGTAAAATCTTATTCGAAAATATTTAAAAAGGTTTGTCATACAGCTAAGTCTCTCTATTTAGGTAAAATAATAACTAAATCTAAAGATAAAATAAAAGCCACTTGGAAAGTAATAAATAGCGAAACTGGAAAAGTTAATTTTCAAAATAGCAAAATAGCTTTAAATATTAATAACAAATTGGTAAATTCCGACACAGAGGTCGCGCATACATTCGAATCTTATTTTACTAATATTCCATTAATTACGACACAGGCTCTAAAATCTTCCCCGTCTGCTGCTGAAACTTTACTAACAGACAATGTTAGCAAGTCATCAGCTGTATTTAACTTTAGACATACATCATCAGTAGAAATAATGAAAATATTCAAACAGCTTAATAATAAAAAAACAGAGGATCTATGGGGTATATCTGTTAAAATACTGGATAGTATAATGGAAATTATTGCGCCCTCTCTTGCTTTTATTTTCAATAAATGTATAGATGAAGGTAAATTTCCTAACATAATGAAAATTAGTAAAATCATACCGCTTTTTAAATCTGGAGATAGGAGTGACCCAATAAATTATAGACCTATATCCATACTCCCAGCACTCAGTAAAATTTTTGAAAAAATAATCCTTATGCAACTTGTCAGTTATTTCAATTTAAATAATTTAATCCACAATAGTCAATTCGGTTTTTCCAAAGGTCGTTCAACTACAGACGCAGGTGCAGAGTTGCTTAGACACGTATTTGCTGCATGGGAAACTAAAATGGATGTGATAGGTGTTTTTTGTGACCTTTCTAAGGCTTTTGATTGCGTTGATCATAATACATTGCTAAAAAAACTTGCTTTTTATGGCGTCAAAGACAATGCTTTAAATTTAATAAAATCTTATCTATCTGATAGAATACAGAAAGTGAAGACTAGCAACGCTACGTCTGACGGATCACTTGTGCAAATGGGTGTACCTCAAGGATCTATTCTCGGTCCATTTTTATTCCTAGTTTACATTAATGATCTCCCATATGCCATGCAGGATAGATGCGGCATAGTATTGTTTGCAGACGATACTTCATTAATTTTTAAAGTTAATAGAATGACTAATAATTATGACGATGTAAATAGTGCTTTGCGGCGTCTCCTGCACTGGTTTACAACTAACAATCTTATGTTAAACGCTAAAAAAACAAAATGTGTTAATTTCTCTCTGTCTAAAAGTTTTAATACTAATTGCAATATTAAATTAAATGACGAATCTCTCGAATTTATAGAATCTACTGTCTTTCTAGGAATCACACTAGATAATAAAACACAATGGGGTGCACAAATTCAAAGCCTTGCAGCGAAACTAAGTTCAGCAGCTTTTGCCGTGCGTAAAGTTAGACAGTACACTGATACTGATACTGCTAGATTAGTCTATTTTAGTTATTTTCATAGTTTACTCTCTTATGGAATATTACTATGGGGAAAAGCGGCAGATATTAAAAATATATTCATATTACAAAAACGTGCCGTTCGAGCGATCTACTGTATGAAGAGTCGTGACTCATTAAGAGAGAAATTCAAAGAGGCAAATATTCTCACCGTTGCTTCTCAATTTATATATTCAAATATCCTATATGTTCATAAAAATCTTGACTTATTTCCAAAAAACAGCAATATTCATAATATTAATACTAGATTTAAAGACAAACTTGCTGTCCCCAAGTATCGTTTAGAAAAAGTTAATAGGTCTTTTATGGGAATAGGTATAAAAATTTACAATAAGATACCAAAGGATATGTTGGAATTACCCTTAAATAAATTCAAAACATCTGTTAAATCATATTTACTGAGCAAAGCCTATTACTCACTAAACGATTACTTGAATGACGAGTGTGCATGGCAATAGTTGTTCATGCACTGAATTTTCATTTAATGTTAGACATAGACACCTATATAAATATACATTGTAAATAAACTGGCTTTAAAAAAAAAAGTAATTCAATTGAGTTTCTTGCCAGTTCTTCTCAATTGGATCTATATACCGAACTGGACGGTAGGGTAAATATAAAATTATAATGTAAAAATTTGACGTTCATAAGCGGCTAAAATGTCCTACATGAATAAATGATTTTTGAATTTTGAATTTTGAATTTTGAAAAAACTTGCTAACTATATATGAGTACCCTATTAATATTATCAATGTGTAAGTTAATAATGATGGTTGAATGGATTGATGAATGTTTGTTACTCATTCCCGCAAAAAGTACTTAACGGATTTGAATGAAATTTGGTACATGGATAGGTTAAATCCTAACTTAACACTTATATACTAATTCAATACTTTATATACTGATTGACACAAGTATAGCTGTGGAATATAGATAATGTTACATACGTAACGACTTTTTTTGGACAATATATACTATACATATATTCAAGGTTTGCTTGAAGAGAACTCTTAAAGAGTTAAACTCGCCTGTTGTACATCTTCATTTAGCATAAATTATAACAGTGTAATTTTTGTGTACAATAAAATATAAATAAATATATATTGAGAGAGCGAGAGATAAATGTATACATGTATATAAAATAAATATATTAATATAATTTGTGAATGTTATATTAAGAATTACTATTATATATATATATATATAAGTTGTAAGTATAACTCCAATATTCAACCTCGAATTCATTATACATTAACAGATGTCTATTTAATGAGTGATA